GAATAAAATGAAAAAAATAATAAAAACAGATATCACCTGTATACTAATATCATTATTACTAAAAATGTACTGAAAATCTGTTTGAAATATATGGTGATTTCTTATTTTGAGTAATTCCATGATGATGTTCAGTTGTTATGTACATGTATTACTTTAGTGCCATATTTAGCCAAACTCTTGTAACTTATGTTGTGCTTGTTTTGACCAATAAAATGCTGAATTATCCTACGAAATTATGTTAATTTTCTATTCAATTAAAGAGGTTCCACATTGTTTATCATGTTTATCTAACTGCAATTCGTTATTGATTCTTATTTTTATCAAAAAGTGAATGAGCTGATAAGAGTTTTTCTTTTTAAAAGTATCTCTATTGAGATAAAGAAGCAAAATATGTTGAGGAGTTGTCGAAATTCTTTGTACCATATGCTTTTATGAAACTCGATTGATTCACACTATTAAGCCGACATTAGCAAGTTTCATTCTCTTGTTGAGTGCCATTCCTTCAGTACCTTTTACTATAACACCTGATATCTTTCCAAAATCTCTTTCAAAAGCCTTGGTCTAATCATTCTTGGATTGAAACTTGACTGCTTATTTTGGTATTCTTCTTATTACAATGACAATAATAAGATGTGTGTGTGTTTTTAATTAGAACTGTAACAGACCAATTGATTTTTTTTATCAAATGTTGATCTGATTATTTTGCTAGCAAACCCTTTATAAGTATAGGGGTAAATAATAATAACTTATAAAATATCCCGATGATCTCCAAGAATTATGACATGTAAGCCTTTTGAGCAATATGGCCGAGGCTGGTATTACTTTTTAATTATAATTTTAAGAATAAAGTAATTGCTTTAAAAGAATATTTTCTGAGATATCTATGGAATAGTGTGCTATGATATATCTGAAAAGATATGCATATCTATGAGATCATGGTTGTTCTTAGAAATCAGTCCTTCTGATAAAAAAAACAACAACTTTTTTTCCAGTTTATACATGTATATTCGATTGTCTGAGCCTCGGTGCGATTATTTGGTTGTCTTACTAACGATTTGACAACTAAAAAAATCACCTATTTGGTTGGAGATTTCTGTGTCTCACCCTCCATATAGGGAAATATTCTCTATTATTAATCCACACATCAGATTTGTTTATAGACAAGAAAAAAAATCATAAAAGCTGAAGGCCAGACAAGGTTGATCAGTTTCTTCAAATATTGAAAAGCTGACTGTCTTACAATTCTTTCATTAATCTTAATCCTGCCAGGACATGCCGACTGACTATATTCAAATATATATATTGAAATTCTGGTTAAATATTTAAAGTCTATCACTTTTTTTCTTGTGTAATAATACAACTAGTTACAATTGTACAACTATATAAAAAAAAACAGCTAGAAAGTAATAATTCTCTAAGCAATGTATGATTATTAAAATAAAGAATTATTTAGGCTAGAAGGAACACTACATCTTCGTTTCATCCGCAGTACGGTGATAATTGTGATCTCGCAAATGAGAGCGTTTATTAGTTTATTACGCTACCGTCGAGGATGCCGCGCTGCAGTCGCATTGTTTACAACACCGGAACGGTGCATGTGGAAGTTCAAGCGAACGTATGTTTGCAGTAGGTCTATTAGGTCTACATATAAGTATGTTTTTTTTATAGGGATGTACACGTCGACAATAAAATGAGACTCAAGATTAACATTTCATCATGTCTTCCTGTGAATGATTCTCGGACAAGCTGAGACAGCGAGTGTAGATGGTCGGAAACTTGAATGGTGGGAAACTTCGATGATCTTGTTGGATTACGATGTGGACCGCCTCAAGATGGTCATTTGAATCAATAGCACGTTTGTAAAACTCTCCATTAGTCCTGAATTAATTGGAGGGTTTTAAAAGTAAATGGTCTAGAAATAATCGGGACGAAATGTCTCTTCCTTTCTCTCAATGGAGTAGACGGGCACCTGAAGCGTACGATATGTCCGCCATATTTAAGATCAAATTCAGACTTCAGTCTGCCTTGTAGCAGTCTTAGGATTTAAGACAGAAATTTAGACTTAAGACTTAAGGGGTTTTTTCATGATCCACAAGCTAAGTCTGTTTTTAGACTTAAGTAAAAAAAACTTTGGACTTAAGTCCAGAATTATACTTAAGTCCGTTTCATGATCCTGGGCCCTGGTATATATCATAGCAAAATTGATGGCACAAAGAAAACTGTTTGATTGGTGTCAGTTAAAAAAAAAAGACCAATCGCTAGGCTGATACCTGTCCTTTGAAAATTTCAAAGCCTGTACATTTTTACCGTTACGCGACCGCGAAATTCTTTTGTTGTACATCAAAGGATCGAGCTAGTCTTCTTGTCTCACCTACAAGGGGGCCACACTGAGCCTTCAATTTTGCTATGACATATTTCAGGGGTGTAGAGAGCGAAAGTGAGCGTAACCCCTGGATATTGAAGATGGATTTCTTCACTACAAACTAATCCAAAAGTCACAACCAAACTAGCCCACCTCACTATCAATTATCTTTAAAGTAGTTAGGGTACTTTTGAAGTGATTCTAATAAGCATGGATCCCATACATTCTCAATTTGGCTTTGTATTCATTTGAGGTCCTGGTGTGATATATTAGATTAGTCAATGATGAAATTATATTGTTTTCGTATTTTACCATTTTTTTTATATACCATAGCTGACTTCGGAGACTACATGTTTACCTTTTTAATTGGTTCTAGCAACACATACTCATGAGCCCGTATTCATGAAATCGTTATCATGCTCAAACACAGATTCTGTGCTCAAGCCCAGTTTTTTGTGGAAGTGTTCAATTAAAATAAAATCCATATTTTGTCAATGATACGGAAGGAATTTTGAAAACGTTGAGCCGATTTCTGTTTTCTGTGATTACAGTTGACGTTCTGACCTTGTTACATGATTTTAGCAGGTTACAAGAAAGTCGGCATGTGCACAGAAAAACAGGCTTGAGCATTAGAACGGTTTCATAAATACGGACCCAGGTGTGTTTGTAAATGTTTAGAAAAGGAACTCCTACCAAAATTTTAGGTTTTTTTCTCAACTTTGATGTATTTCAATATAATTAAAAACGGTGTACTCCTTACAAGTGACTGAGAAAAAATCATCTTAACGCTTCCGTGAATCTGACCAACATCATCTCAAATTGTTTCTGGAATGTCTTTTGTGTATGGCTGATGTCTACTACCTTGGCAGTCATTCATCGCTCTAGTTTCCTGTGACGTCATAATGAATGTCATTGCACGCGTAACACGTTTATGAGTAGTGCAATTGCATTGAATAAAAGCAATGAACATCATGACCATATTTATCATTCCTGGTTTTTATTATACGGCAGAAAAGCTGCATTACATGATCATATGTGCTTATGTGTCGTGTTTATCTGGTAGTAATACTGTGAAAAGTATTTCAGTATTTTATACTCATATTTTGAGATAATTATAGATTTTATATTGCCTATACTGGTGTGTAGAACATTCGTTTGTAAATTAATATATTTACGTTGAATGATTAGGCGAAGACATGCGACTACTGTAAAATAATAGAAAAAAATGTGAAAAACTGAAAAACTTTTTCTGGTAATTTTGAATATTACCGTCTATCCATCGGCTTGAATAATAGTAACCAATGTGTTAAATGATAATTTTTAATATTGCAGGGATCAAGGGACGAGGGTTATAAGAAACCTAAGACGTTAAAGCAAGTATTTAGCCGGTTCGCTGAGAGTACGTCTATTTCTGGACTGCCACATTTACAGAATGCCAAGAAGACTGTCGGCAAGGTGTTCTGGGGAGTTCTGGTCTTCGTAGGCTTTATAGCCATGTTTGTTCACCTCTACTTCCTATTCGCCGAATTCCTATCATGGCCAAAAAAGACGACGATATCATTGGGGTTCAACAATTTACGGCTGCCCGCAATCACACTCTGCAACGTAAATACTATACGGAAATCGCGGCTGGACTTGGCTGCCGACAAACTTCAGAAATTTGCAGATAAAATCGACCCACACAATTTGGTAAGTACCTTAAATAATATTGTATATGTTTAAGGGTGATCGGGTGGCGCACTGGATAGCGCATTCGCCTTTCACCAAGACGGCTAGGGTTCAATTTCCCAATCGGATATGTAAAAAGAAGGAAATCAGAAATAGTACATGTATAAATAATGGAAAAAAAAGAGTATGACCATAAAACATAATATATTTTTTTTTTAATGGAAATTGATCTAGCACAATGTGTGTATTGTTATTGCCACACACAATCTCTACACCACATTCCTCGTTAAAACTTCTAATTGCTCCTGTAGCTAGCTGACGTCACCTATGACGACGTGGAATACTATGACTACGACTACGGGGTGTTCGGATCGGGAGACGGAAACTACATCTATGATTACGACGAATACAATGATGAATACGCAAAGGAAAGCGGATTCCTGGAGAGGGATAAATTGTCAGAAATATTCACAAACTTTCGAGGTTTATATTTGAACGAATCAAGGTAAATTACTACAAAAAAACGTTTTAGAGAATTTCAACCCGTGAAATGACTGATCATGCAATTTCGCTCGAGTTAAAATGTGTCTAAATAGTTTACTTGACATATTTTAATTCGCATTCGACTCTCGTTGCGAATGAACACTAATTACTTATCTTACCGAAGATATGTTTGTTTCAATCAGCAGTTTGTTTATCTATAGTTCAGTAACAGAGACATGAAAAAACCCAAATAAATTGCTCATGTACAAATAATTTCCAGTTGTACGTATGTGATATCAGTAACCTCATTTAGACTTTAAACAGCGTCAATCTGTCGAATTCACAAGCTCGGCATTATAGAAGACAATGTTTTTTTATTCAGGAGTACCCGTGTAGCCATGGGACACGATTTCAATAAGACTCTCATCAACTGTGCCTTTAACGGGTACAAGTGTTACGCCGAGTAAGTAAAGTTATATCAATTACATATACCGTGATTGTTAATTATCTAAGACTTTTATACCATACGTATTTACATGTATCGAGACGGAACAAAAGGAAAAATGACAACAGATATATTGATGATCATTACGTATAATATTTTCGATTTTAGGGGTGAAGCAAATACCTAATACAAAATGTAGTGGTTCATTTGTAAAATAAAACAGGAATTCTGATAGCTATTGTTCATCATCATACTCATCATTTTTCAAAGAATGTTGGAGTTTTTAATACAATATTTTTCGTATTTCTCCGTTTTCAGAAATTTCACTTTGTACCAAACACCTAAATATGGAAATTGTTACACTTTGGATATAGACGGTTTTGTAATTAGAAGACCTGGACCTAGTGCGGGTAGGCAATTATATAATTAAATTCTTAATCAAATATCGCTTTATCGTGAATATTACTATTAACTCCATATTATAATATCTCGTTGTTGTCAATGTTACTATAACTTTATATAACGATTAACTCCATATTATATCATCTCCTTCTCATAAATGTTACTTTTAACTTCATATAACGATTAACTCCATATCATAACTTCTCATTTACAATACTGTCTCTGTCATTTTACATGTATCTACCCCTAGGTTTGTCTTTGTCATATTACATGTGTCGACCCCTAGCTCTGTCTTTGTCATATTACATGTGTCTACCCTAGGTCTGTCTTTGTCATATTACATGTGTCTACCCTATCTCTATCTTTGTCATATTACATGTGTCTATTCCTAGGTCTGTCTTTGTTA